GTGTGTGTGTGTGTGTGTGTGTGTGTGTGTGTGTGTTATTGGAGCCTGTTATCTGTCAGGCCCAACAGGTCAGAGTACACTGCTGGTAAACTTTCCTCACTGGAGCAGAAGCTGCACCACAGCTCATAAAAACATGTTTGAGCTGATGTCTGAGGAYCCTGGTGCTGTTTTTTGTTTAACAGACAAACTATGCTGCACTGCTGAGGAGATGCTTTTCAACAAGTGTGCTGTCTTTGTAATTCTTTCTCCAAAATAATAATAATAATAATAATTTAAAAAAAGTAAAGCTCATATCATTAAAACATCTGTGTTTAAAGTCTGCAAAGCTTTGGAGCTTTGAGCAGTCGTTTCAGCGAATGAGCCTGCGTGACTAAATAACTGAGAGGCGTCATATGAGCACATTTTTGGATAATCAAATTCTCATTTTGGCCACAACAGTGTTTTCCATTTTATAGTTCAAAACAAATGACCCGTAAAACATAAAGCAAACACAAAAGTGGGACATTCRTTTTATATTTCTCTCCTTAAAATGTGAACATTTTCCTGATTTGTGGTTGATGATAGTCTGGTTAGGCCAGTGGCGGATCTAGGATTTTTCTGGAAAAAGGGGCCATCAAGGGGCCACAATGTTCTTAGAGGGGCCAAGTATTTATTTAACATCCTTTCTACACAAATCTCTGATTTTGGTAAGGTGTATACATTTAACCAGTCACACATGTTCAAACAMTTGTAATTGAAAAAATCTTGCGTATTCTCCCTACAAGTTTTACGTGTATTTTTACTGTAGATCAAATAATCTTAAACACACAGCATGTAAGAAAATGTAGCCATTGTTTGTTAGTGGAAAGACTTTTCCTGCAGGATTGTTTAAATCTCAAGAAGAGAAGATGACGTCTGTCTGCTTGATTCATGCTGGACTTTCCTATTTGACTCATTAGCACCTCTAATGTTTGAACATGGAACTRCACCCGCCATCATCATTCTTGGGCAAAGGACAGATGAGGGACATGACAGGGGCACTTCAGTGGGCCAATCAGATTTCAGCTGGGGCCAATGCCCCTGTGGCTCCGCCCCTAGAACCGCCCCCTGGGTTAGGTTACTGTTTTGGCAAACAAATAGAATATTACTTTTAATTTATTACCTGTTTTTTTTGGCATCAGTGAGCTGTCTCGTCCTGTGATCAAAACAGAACACAGTAAAGCAAATAACATAAAGTAATTACACATGTGCAAGTGTAATAACTATCTTAGTCAAGTGCAGGAAAGAAGTACAAACAGAAGTGCTCACTTTTCAAAATAAAATACCCAGCAGGATCTGTGTGGGCCCAGTATCTAATGATTCATGGACCAACATGGGTCCGTGCCCCAGTGTTTGAGAACCCCTTATTTAAAGGTTACAAAAATAAAATATGAATTTATTCGTCCTTATCTCTCCTATTGTTTTAACAGGAAATATTTGCCTGGAGTTGGTTTGTGTGTTCAAGCTTTCAAAAAGAGAAAATACCTTGATGATGGATTAAGTTTGAAGTTGAATTATTGATCAACAAAAAACAATGGGTTAATGTGATGGAGTGATGGTGTATTTTGTCTTTTATGGTGTATATGATGAGTGTTCTGGACATCATCAACCACAGCACATCTGTGTAATCGCTGTTTTATAGTTTGAGTTTCATCAGACTGCACAGACAACTCTAATCTGTCTGCGAGTCTGTGGATTAAGTTGGCACAGTACGGAATGTTTGTCTTCCAGAGAATCACTGACATGTTTCTGAAATATTACACAACAGGATTTCTTCTGATTCTGTATTTTTAGAGGCTCAATTGTCTGATTTAAAAACCTGGACGTAAAGGTCTGTGTGTGCAGCCTGGATTGTCGTCTGTAGCGACAGATCGGTCCGTTGATTAAATACTTGAAGTCGAGCTTCGGCCTTCGCCGGGGATCGCCCGCTCAAAGACTGAGCCATGACATCTCGCTCACTGTGGGATGAAATCATCTCAATCCGGTAGATTTCAAGAAGATTAAAGGATCAAATGAATAAGCCCCTCYCCCCAGCACCATCAGCAGCCCGGTCACTGTCCTTCCTCAAGAGGTGACACGAGGAACAACAATGGATTTTACCCCAGCAGCAGCATGGCGGCGGTGGCGTCTTGCTGGCTGTGGTGGTCACATCGCCTAAGGCAGACGGGGGGGGGGCTGATGATGATGATGATGATGTGTCACAGCTTCTGGTCAAAGGTTCGTCCGAGTCTCCGTTTGACTCCACCTCGCGTCCTCGTCCTCAAAAAATCTGGAGGAACATCAAGTCACGATGGATGAGAGACGGGTTGCCATGGCAACCGCAGAGCCCTTTCCCACTGCATCTCTGCGTTCATGTCGACTGCAGGCAGAACGAGAGCAACTTTTCCCTTTCCACGTCCTCACAGGGCTCTACAGAACAACTGAGGAAACATGAAAATGGATCAAGGTGCAGAGTGTCCTCCTGCTGACGGGCTTTTGACTCAGAGCTCTGACAGGAAGTGTTTGAAGCCTCGCTGCGAGCAGGATGCTTCAGACTGATCGAGGAATTCTGAAGCTATTAAAAACTAATTTTAACTTTAAAATGGCAAAAATGATAATCAGTGAAAGGTTTACCTGGAGGCACTTCTGTTCTGATGCACAAAGTGAGCTTTTAGTTTTCAATGTTGACATCAAACACAAATTAGAGGCCATTTTAAAAGCATTTATGTTTTATTAGCATGTTTTAAATTTTCTTTTTGACATCTTTTTTTCTCCTGAATTTAACACTGCCTCACTCATTGTTTGATCTAGTGTACTGGGATAAAAGTAACAAAATGCTAGCTAGAAACTAAAAACAAAAATATAGTTGAAAGCTAAAAGTGGCAGAATGTTAGGTGAAAGTGAAATGTAGCAAAAGCCTAGATAAAAGTAATAAAATAGTTAGAAGCAAAAGTAGCAAAAATATACCTAAATATAGCAAAAGGCTAACTAAAAGCTAAAAAGTAGCATAAGAAGACAACAACTTAGCAACTATGCTGATGCAGATTTTAAAGAGAATAATATTTTTCAAGGAATTGAAGATCTGACTTGCAAAATTGCAAAAAATAAATAGAAGCAAACAGTGTGAACACTGAATCAGCTTTCATATAATTAATCTTCACTTTTGCAAACTGTGGTTGTTCAAAGAGCAATCTACAAGTAAGACACTGACTATTCAAAATCTTTCCACAGAACCCCACTTCAAAAGTTCTGAATGATCCCCTGAATTCTTTTGAAGAAAAAAGAACAACCTTTTTTTTACAGGTGAAAATATCATCGAAGTCACAGAAGTTTTGAAAACTGATGAAGAATTTTCAGGTGTTTTAATATACCTGGTTTACATTTGACCCTGCCTCTACATTATATACCACCAGCTTCAAATACTGAAGATAGAAAATCTTACAGCTGTGCCTTTCTCAAATTCATTCTGCTACAAAGTAAAGATGTAGAAGCATTTTTATTAGACCTATTATATCCTGTTTATTATTTAAAGGGGCAATATCATGTAAAATGAACTTTTTTGAGTTTTGTATCATGTTATAATGTTATACTCTCATAAAAAACATGGCAGCCATGCTGAGGAGCAAAACGACAGGTGGGGACCAGAAACGCCTTTTGGGACCAGAAACACCTCTAGGACATGTCTTAAACTTCCTCATGGCAGAGCGCACCCCCTCCCCCCCTCCCCACACACCCCGCCCATGACTCCTGCAGGCTCTCGGTGAAATTAAAAGTGAAACCTAACTGTCTGCTGAGCACATTAGTTCTCACTCAGTGAAGCTCTTTTCAGATTGAAAATACCTTGGAGGAAATGTATTTTCAGATGCCAAGTAAACTGCATCATAGTGCACGTGCAACAAACCCCCCCGCACGAGCCCCCCGGTGTACGAACCCTCCCCTGAACGGGACGGAACAGAAGCGGACGTGGTTCTTAAAGAGACAGAGGCCAATTTCAAGGTGTTTAGAAGAGGAAGTGATGAGAAGATAAGTTTATTTTCTATTTAAACAAAAAAACAGCATTTTAATAACAGCTAAAGGTGACATAGATACTTTATTATGGTATAGTATTTAGATGTATGCCTGAGAAACACATAATATTGCCCCCTTTAAGAAAAACAGGCTCACCTATAAAATCTGATTTTATAAAAAATTTCTAATCACCTCAAAAGTTTTCATATCCACAAATAAACTGTTAAAATGAATGTCGTGAWAAAAAGGGTGTTTTTACATCCTACTTTCTCTCTTTCTGGCTTAAGCTGCCCCCTCATTTAATTTGTGTTGAAGTATCTGTGACTCATGTTCTGCTACCTGCAAATATTCAGCCATTTTCTTATCATCACCTCTGAGACTGGACTCATAGACTCAGCGTGTAGGATTGTTCAGGCTGCCTCACGCTCCTTGAAAATGCCATGTAGGCCATCAGATACTGGGTGACATCCTTTTGTGCTCATTGCTCCAGTCTCCTGAGATCAGAGCGGCTCCTCCCTCCTTAACTGTGACAAGTAGAGGGCCTCTTTATTCATGCATCCAGAACGGTTTCTTACTGATGACTGATGGAGATGTAGTGGCAACATGATTACCACCAAGACCTTTTAACAGAAAAGTCACAGTGAGAGATTTTGTGTTAGAGGTTTTGACACTTCTCTGTTTTTCCTAAGCTGTTTTGCTGTGTTAAGTAGCAGCCACCTAAAATGATGATTTTTTTTTCATAAATCAGCGTTGTCTATTTATAGCTCGTGCTATTTGAAGCATTTCCAAAATAGTCTGCTAATAAAAGCAGCAGCTCGTGTTGCTCGTCGTCAGTGCTTCTTCCTGCGAGTTTCTTTCAGACACAAACATRAAGCTTTGAGGCTTTTATCATTCGCCGCCTCTGCAATGTGCAGCACATCATGTTCCCACGTTCAAACYGACTCACTGTCTGATGTACAATCAGCAAGGTCAGGCATGCTGCAACTCCTTTCGTATGAAATGCACTCAGCTGGTAGAAATTAGAACGCAAGGTTAAGTTAAAGGCCCAGCACTCCTCGAAGGAACACATTTTGCTCGCTGTCTTTTAGGCCAGACTTTTAGACATTTTTATCTGTATAAATTTGCCAAATTGTAGCGAATTTTGTTTTTTTACATCATGTTTTTAAATCCTTCCTTCTCACATTTAAATAGTTTAGTTGGGGGTTTATATAAAGTGGAAATGCAACGCTTTGGTCTGAATTTCTCCTTATTGTAACTCCACAAGCCCCTCTTTCACCCTTTTTCTTTGATGGGTCTCAGATCAACTCATTTTGAGGCTGTCTCTTTAAATCAAACCGAAACACTTCCCATGCCCCTTATAGCTTCTGGACCGGTCCATCCCAGTTTGATATAGGGGCTTACGACTATAGAACAGAAACTTTGTTTACAAATTAAATAAAAGACATCAACAAGGGGAGACTTGTCCATCCTGCCTTACATGTTGGAGCCAGAGGACAATGAAGATAACCAATTGCTTAGTTCTTGAGTCCAGACCTTATTTAGAAATTCCTTTGCAAATAATTTGATGTAATGGTTCAGGTAACGACATAGAAATAAAAGAAAATAGAATAGGTTGAAAAAAAAAATGACCTGAACAGAATTTAAAGATATCTACGAGCACTGTTAGAAACTAAATTCAAATTTTCGGCACTCCCAGAGACTCCAGGTACACAAGAAAAATGTATTTAAGGGCAAAAAAAAATGAATTTTGCATGATCTGTCCCCTTTAAAGGTCAGTTGGCTGTGGCGGCCATCTTGAATTCAGTTGACTCCTAACAGAAATGTTTCTCCATGATTATTTCCTGAAAGTTTCATTAAATTCCTCAAAAACGTTATGTTTTGCTTCGGATAGTGAGTGATATATATTATGAGGTCATAATGTAAAGGCAATGTAACCTCTGATTAAGCATTTTTAATTTTTAATTATTTTTTTAATGTTTTACAGACTCGCTAAACATAGCACAAGTTCTCTTTTTACTTGTGGAACATTTCAGTCACGTTTACATAAAAAAATACCATAGATGTTTCAACCAAGTGACCCTTATATAACAGTACTTTATGTAACGTTTCTTAACAGTAAGTAAGTGGCAGCCTGTGTGATGCGTTCACTGTCCTCGGGCRAGGTCGCCTCGTCTCCTGGAGAGCAGATACAGGACGAGATGGGGTGGGGCCTGACCCAGCCTCGCCGGCGTTCTGCTGAGTCAGGAAGCTTTGTGGAAGKCCAGCAGCAGCAGCCCATTGATGCTCTGAGGCCAGAGGGGTTGGTGGGAAAATGCTACTACAGAGGCAGCGCACGTTCAAGGCCCAATGAGCCCAATCATTTGTCCCCAAGTGTTTTGTTGTTGCCCATCGTGAGGCAAACCTGCCGCTGTGCAGTTGCAAGGGAGAAGAAGGAAGGTGTTTTTTCTTTTTCTTTGTATGCCTTTAAGATATTTAACTCTAAATACCCAATACAGTGTTCAGAACGTCATGGGAAGACTGAGATTAAGAGTGAAGCTTGCTCAATCAGGATGTTTCTTGTGTTTGTTAACAAAACAAAACCAAAAAAATAAAAGCTGGAGAAATACAGCGGGTAAAATAAGTATTGAACACGTCAACATTTTTCTCAGTAAATATATTACTAGAGGTGCTAATGACATGAAATTTTCACCAGAT